TAAGATATATTTACACAATAAAAACAAATTTACATAATTTTTGTGGAATTACATAATTTCTGTAAAATTGTATGATTTTTTTATAATTACAGAACTAATTATGTGAACTAATAATGTAATCTATTTTACATTTATTATATGTGTAAATTTACGAAATTTTTTTACAGTGTAAGTGGCTTGTGTCGCATCGTGTCCAATCATGTGCAAAGTAACGATAAAAGTAACTGTAAAATTCGTTACCGTTACCAAAAAAATGTAACTTTGTTACCGTTATAGTTATCAAAGAAAAGAGTAACGCAGTTACTAGTAAAGTTATCAAAAAAGTAACTTGTAACTGTAACTTCGTTACAAGTAACGAGTTACTTCCATTCCCTGGCGATAAGCGATAATTTTTATTGCTGAGGATGGCTAAAATAGTAAGCCGAAACATAAGTTAATGATTTAATTTAATGGATATTATTTAGTTTTGCGCAATATAAGATCCAGCGTTGACTCCAAAGGCCTTGTTAATTATTGCTATTATCATTGTATTAATTTAAGGAGTCTATAAAATTTATAATTTTTACTCAAATTTATTTATGATTACGCCAGGCTGAAATATGAGGCGTCAACTAGAGGGTTCGTTTTTCAAATTTATTTGTCAGGTATTTGGAATGTATGTTATGAATTTAATGAAAGAGTGGATCAAACATCGAAAATCGATCTACAGAAACAAGAACAGAATTATGTTTATAAAACATTGTATAGAATGTAGGTTAGTGCCTCCGCATCTTTACAAAATTTCAAAGTTTGCTCCAGCCTTTGACTCGCGAGATACTACAATGACAAGATTCAAGAATATTAGACAAGATTTCATCAGAAAAATTCTAAAATTACAATTAAAAGACTCGTATAGGTCGATTGAGATTTCAAAAAATAAAATTTTCCATCTTGTACGCAGTATTTCTAATGAATTGCCTATGAATATTTTAAGTAAATTCTTTGAATCTCAGAATCAAAAGTTGCATAAGTATTACATTAATAATAAAAAAAGAATAGACAAAAAAATGGCCTGGTTGAATAAAAAAGAAGAGACAAAGAATAATGAGAACATGAAAGTATTGGAATATGTTTGGTTACCGGGAGATGACAATAAGCCCAATAACAGTAATAAGTTTGTCTATGAGAATTTGCCTTTGTCTTCCTTGAACAATCCGAATGCGGTAGGCATAAAGATTTCTCCGAGATTGTTTATTAATGATAGGATTACTCCTTCAGTTACATCCATAAGGGAAAAATGGTTTTATAATCTATCTTCGGTGGATATACCTACTAACATACAATATCTATTACAACTGGGTGAGAATTTCGCACTTCCAATCAGTGGCGGAAAGCCATTGGTCATGGAATTCATAAAAAGTATAGAAAACAACATTAAGAAAATGCAAAGTTCAGTACACAATAACGTCAGAAATCATTCGGTAGCAATAATTAATAATTTACTATCTTTTAAATATAAGAATAATTGGATTTGTAGGATTAAAAAATTGTTACAATGCACACAACAATTTCTAAAAAATAACCGAAACATTATAATTACCAAAGCTGACAAGGGCAACATAACAGTAGCATTAGAGAAGAACTTTTATATAGAGAAAATTAGGGCTATGCTTAGTGATGAGGAGACATATTCCAAAATTTCAAAAGATCCCAGTAATAAAATTAACAATAGTTTGAGAATGCTGCTTACACGATGGAAAAAATCTAAATTCATTCCTGATTTAATATATAAAAAGCTGTACTGTAGCGATGGTAACTTACCTAGAGCATACGGATCTCCGAAAGTGTACCAAGGGCACAAAGTTAAGTAAAAAATAGTTATGATTTGACAAAAAAATTGGAAAATATTAAAACAAAATTAGGTTAGTTTAGTATCACTGGATGTGGTATCCTTGTTTACTAATGTGCCCTTGGAATTAGCAATGGAGGCTCTTTCTAATAGATGGGGTCACATTGAGAAAAGTTGTAAGATTCCGAAAGAGAAATTCTTAAAAACGGTGCAATTAATTCTAGATTCGACATACTTCACTTTCGATAAGCAAATTTATAAGCAAACCTTTGGTACTCCAATGGGCTCACCATTATCGCCCATTATAGCTGACATGGTTATGCAGGATCTGGAGAGTCGGGTGCTGAGCACCATTGAGTTTCCTGTGCTGTTTTATTACAGGTACGTGGATGACATAGTACTTTGTTTACCCACGACTGAAGTAGAAGACATCTTAAAAAGATTCAACTCATTTCATCCGAGACTACAATTTACGATGGAGGTGGGTGGGAATGCCATTAATTTTTCGGACACTATTATGTTCAGAAATGACGGTCTCATATTTGGCTGGTACAGGAAACCCACCTTTTCAGGTAGATTTTTAAACTATTGGTCTCAGCATCCAATTTCACAGAAGAAGGGCACAATTTTGAGCTTGATAGATAAAGTGTTCTTTCTCTCGCATCCAGAGTTTCACACAAGAAATTTCAATTTTATAATCAATATTTTATTACAAAATTTATTTTTGAAACACTTAATAAAAGGATAAAACAATTAATAAAAAAATACAACTGTAAGGGAAGAGCCTCCACAGAAAAGGTCAAGAAAGAACATATTAAATGATATTCTTGAGGCTTTCACGAGTGTTTCCTATATGACAATCTTGTGTTTCGCGGGTTTTCTCCGTGTTCAAATCCATTCTTGGAATGCCAACGTTTCGTGAACC